GTGCTCTCGCCTAGCCGCTCGAGGCTCGGGGCTGTCACATAAAAACTGCCTGTGGACCAAGGAGTCGGGCTGACGACGAAGCGGACGCAAACCGTCGTGGACGTACCCCGAGGATCTCAGCCTATCTCCCGTCCAGAACGCCCCAGAGAAAACAGCGCCAAACCAATATTTGTCACGGGGGGGGGCGCGCTTGGACCGCATCATTCTTTGGAGCGGGTCCGAAGCAACTCTGTCGGCACTGAACTGTGACAAGGCCTGCGCCATGCGACGCTCATGTGATCTCTGAACTCCGTCCTGCAGTAGCTTATTGACCAGGGCAGGTGCCGTGCAGAGGAGATCGATCACGTACCCTCGGTCGCCGTGCCACACTGTGAAACTTGTAGCTGTCCACCCTATTCTGTGTAGGCTCAACAGCATGCGGCGCATGGGCCCCCGAGATAGCTTCCAGCCAGAAGGTCCCAGAACAAGGTTTTGAGCTTCCACCGTGTCCCGCCATATCTGGATGTGTTCCCGAAGCGAGAAAGATGATGATCGTGGCTGGGTGATGGACCTCCAGATGCTCAAGGCCCATTGGGCCGCTGGCGCAACCGCCTGCTTCCACGCTGGATCGCCGTGCAAGACCAACTTAGCAGTGAGGGAGGCACCTTTGTGTGCTGGGCTGCGTCCAGCCATTAGAGTACTCTGAAGCGCCCGTAGTTCGCCATCCGCAAAGCCGAGAATCATGGCTCCGTAGCCCGCTGCAGGACGAACTCCAGCAACATAAATCTGAAACATTCTGGACTTGTCCCGTGGCAATCGTTTGCGGTAGAATGACAAAAAACGTTGCCTTTTTACGCGTAGCTCGTAGTCGTTGGTGTCGCTTGTGTAGTCCTCCTCTGCATCCTCTCCCCTGGCCTGGTGCTAGGTCTGTCCCAAGCGACACTGCTGGATTCGATGCCACCGACGGACATGCCACTAGCAGCCCCCTGGAGAGCCTCGTCGCCAGCCTCTGCGAAGATGCAAAAGTCACGGTCTTGTCCTCTGCTAGGTGGACGTTCAGCCGTTCCGAAAAAAAAATTTCAAGTCGTGACCAGTCTTGGTTAGATTCGCCACTATCTCATCCTCGTCTCCATGCGCGACAACCGTGTCCTCATCTATGTAGGAGCCTAACGATACCTGTGGATTCCGGAGCGAGAACTGGTCGAAATCGCACATAGCAGATGCTTTAACAAAGACGTCGTTAAGGATGTCCCCCGCAGGTAGGCCCGAGCCCGCAAAGAGCACCAGAGGGGAGCAGTTGGGGCCCAATCGGAGTATACGGGGACCTCGCCATATATTGTAGAGGGTCTTGATGACAACCAGAGGAATGCCCCAGTAGACGGCTCGATCTCGGAGCCATGCTAGAACAAACGACTCGTACTATTTCATACCGTCCCAAATGAAACCTGATGTAGCCTTCCCAGTCGAAGAAGCCTGTTCTGCTAGGACGCTTTGTTTCCAGATGGCCATCTCCGAACTGGTTCCATTCCCGAAGGACCAGTAAAGCCGTTGGGCCCGCTCTAAAAACTCATCAGCTTGGCCCCGCCGGAGCCTCTCCCACAGGCGCACGGGCGACCCCAGGAGCAGGATGGGCCGTAGACCTCCCTTCGGCTTCACAACATCAACATCCACAACAATTGGGACGGGCAAATCCCTATCCGCTCCACCGCCTCAAAGAGTAGCGCCAGGACCTCCAGCCCCATGTCGCTGAGGCAGGCAAAGTGTCGCGGGTGGAAGCCGCCCAGCGACTGGGAGGCATGCCTGCTGAAGGACCTCGCGGCGACGCGGGGCTCCGTCGGGGTGGCTCGCGGGAAGCACCCACGATCTGGGACCCAAGCTGTTGGGGGGCTTAGACGAGCATTCCAGTGCTCACCTAACTTAACCGTCTCGTCCATGAGGAGGCGATTCGGGACCGGCGTGCATATACCATGGGAGCTTTGCACAACCGCAGGGGCCCAAACCTTCTGAGCTCTGGTGACCCTGTGCATGAACCTTGCGGAGCCTTGAAGAGCTTGAGTGGTCCAGGTGCCCCGAGATTCCCTTGCAACCCGCTCTCCTTCAGCTGCAGCCCCATCAAAATCAGCTTGGATATCTTGCAGGAAAAGTTGTGCACGCTCACACCATGACTGCTGGGCCGAGGGGCCGGGGCGCCAGAGGAGCGCAACCTCACGCATAACGCGCAAGGAAGCATCAAGCCCGGCACACTGACTTTCTCCCGCACAGCCGCGCTGCGAGGCTGCCTGGAGGCGCACGCACGTGCGCTCGTCTAAATCGTCCGACTGGACCGACGTAACAAACTCAGTGAAATCGTTAAACAGCCATTTCCAACCTGCGATGATCTGGAGCCTAGCATCTGGGTCCTTCGGCCGATGGAAAACTGAAGCCCAAGATGCCTTAATCGTCCTGCTCCTCTCTCCTAATTCCCGTGGTTCAACTCCGAGAACATCACATAGCTCCACTTCGGCAACGTCAACGAAGTGGCCCCAAGCCTTCGACAGCACTCTCCAAGCGCGGCAGGCCGAAGAGAGAGATGCGTGAGCAACAGCTTGCGCAGCGTGTGCTAGTGCACCTCGCCACTCTGCAGGATGGGGCGCGGGGCCATATGGAGGATCATGGAAGAGCTTCTGATGAGATCGATAGATGAGCTGCCTGAGGGAGAGGGCCTCTGCCTTGATCTTCAAACGTACTGGGCGGTGCGGCTTGACCTCCCACTTGGCGTCGACTGCGACGCCGTCAATCAGTCTGGCCATCCCTGGACCCAGCAAGAAAACATCGATGGCGCTGCTGGAGGCTGGAGACCTGCACGTGGGCATAGTAGGAGCGACTATCACCGCGCCTAATCGAGGCGGGAAACCAGACTCCTCAAGAACTTGTGGCGATAACTTCCCATCCCCTCCGATGATGGCGTTCTCCGAGTCCAAAACCGACCTTCCGAGAGCCTTCAGGATGCTGAGGTTGGCCTCGCTGAGGCCTTCGGCCGAACGAAGGTATACCAAATAGAGCGATACCGCGGGCCATCCAGGGAAGTCTAGGAGGACCTTGATAGCACGACGAGCCACGATACAACCGTCACCCCCCCTTTCGGTGGGCCACCTGAGCCCCGCCGCCCAACGAGCGAATACGCCGACTCCACTAGATAACTTTCCAGTCTCAAGATTGAGCCGAGCAGGGAGAAGGAGAGCGTGCCAACCGAGCCCACGGGCCGCGCTGGTGGCCTGCCCTAGGAACTCGTCGCTGATGCCCAGCTCCTGAGCACAGAGTACCACTGCATCCGTCTCAGCGAGACGGCGTCGAAGTGTCTTCCAGCACGAACCGTTGAAATACTCAATATATATATATATATATATATATATATATAAAACTATTCTGCACACTCTTGGGGGCCCCTCTCAGGGCTGGCACTGGCCGACCTGAAGAAGAGAGCGGGATCCCCGAGAGCAGAAGACCAGGGGCGCCGAACATAGTGTCACCCACACTTTTGTTTCTTGGCCTTGACCCTCATTGTGCGCAGAAGTGCTGTGAACTCCTCCGAATGCTCCTCGCCCTCCTTCCTAGCGACTGCCAGAGGCTTCGAGATGTCCTCAGAAGCGAAATCGCCCAGGCCGATGTCCATTTCATCATCCCCTGGAACTGGGATAGTGTCTCCCCCTGGTTCTTGCTGTGGAACACCTGGGCCCCCAGGGACACCTTCAGCAGGAATTGGGGTTGAGGGAGGTGTGTTGGCCTTGACCTGTGCCGCCTGCGCCGCAAGCAGCTCCTGGTACTTGGCGAAAGACGGCGATGCCACCAACTGCTGCACCTCGGGCGGCGCGTGCTCGAGCGTCTCGGGCGACAGCTGCGCGCAGGACGGCGTGGACTCCTGGGCCGGGGCCACCTGCTGCAGCGTGCTGCGGAGCTCCACCTGGAAAGCTGCGATCTCGATTTTGATCGCCTGGATCTTGTCGCGCGCCTGCGCCAAAGCCTCCTGAGCATCCTTGATGGCCTGAAGATGTTCAATTGCTTCATCCTCAAGCTTGGCCAGCTGCTGCTGACGCTTGGCCAACTTGTGCCCCAGGGTGGTGCGCCTCGTGACGGCAGGCTTGCGCTCCATGATCGGCTTGCGCACAGCTGCCAGCCGAGGAGCCCAGCTCAAGGCACTTCTTGACGATGGAGAGCGCCTCCTCCATGGCGTCAGCCTTGGCACGAAGGGCGACCAGCTCCGTGTCCACCACACCATCACCTTCTTCAGCATCGGGCTTGGGTTCAGGCTTGCGGGCTGCACCAGTGCCTGCGCCCCCTGCGCGCGCACTTCCCGCCTGGCCTCCTGCACCCTTGGTAAGCTGCTCGACCTGCTTTGCCAAGTTGGCCAGCTGCTGCTCGATCTTGGATGAGTTGCCACCTGCCTTGGGCACAGGTGCACCGCGCGCCCATGCACCGCGAGGACCAGAAGGACGATGCCCCTCGCCAGGGCTGGACTTCTTGGCGTTCTCCTTGGCGCGCTGGATGACTGACTGGGGAGCTGCCTTGCCGCAGACGCAGCGGTCTCGACATGCCCAGTTCTGGTTGCGCCCGCAGTGGGGGCAGCCCCAGCAGGGCTGCCTCGGACCTGGGAGCACCGCCTCATCGTCCTTGGCCATGGGACCCGCCGATGAGGCGTCATGGATAGTTGGAGGGAAAAAATTACCTCAACCTGCGTACCGAACCAGAAAAAACGGCAACGGCGACTGCCACTTCGAAGACGGCCGCTGCAAACCCAGAACTTCCTGGGCCGAAATGGCTAGGAGGAGGAGGAAGAGGAGGAGGAGGAGGAGGAGGAGGAGGAGAGGAAGGAGAAGGAAGAGGGGAAGGAGGGGGGGGAAGGGAAGAGGAGGAGGGGGAGGGGGAGGGGGAGGAGGGGGAAAGGGAGGAGGAGGAGGAGGAGGAGGAGGAGGAGGAGGGGGAGGAGGAGGAGGGAAGGAGGAGGGGGCCCGCATCGCAACCCTCCCCCCCCCGCCGCCCTGGGCCTACGACGTGCACCAGCGGCAGGCACAGGAAGCTGCGCCTGCAGAGCTCGTACATCTGCGGCGCGTCACGCTTCCAGGCGCGCGAGCAGTGCACGTCGCGGAATCCGTTCCCCTGCTGGGCGTTCATCTTGAGGTCCTCCAGAGCAGTCTCGGGCACACGCCAACATGCATTGCGGTCAGGTCGGGCGCGCCCCCCCCTACAGGCGGATGTTCGGCGAAATATAAAAAACCCAAAATTATTCACAACACATTCCAAAATGATCAAACAATAGTCCCCAAGCTATGCTTTACCTATTTTTGGATTCTCCTCAGGGACAGGCCCGACTTAACATGACGGATCTGTGCTCTGGCGCGTGGACTCCCGATCCACGGACCGGGGAAAAAAGGCCCTCCAAAAACCTGCGCGAATCCAAAAAACCCGCGCGGATCGCCAACATTTTAAGCTCATGGCCTTTTCTTCTTCGAGGTTGACTTTGGCGGCGAGCGCGGGGGGAGAAGTGAGAAGGGGCGGGCCTTCTCAGAAGGCTCGTAGTTCCCCGGCCTTCTGAGAAGTTTTCCAAGCCCCCCCCGAAAACACAGAAGACTTTTCAAAAAACGCGAGGGCATCTGAGAAGTCCCGCCGCCTTCTGAGAAACCCTTCTCCTTCTCACTTCCCCCCTTCGCTCGCCGCAGATGACTGTGTCTGTGTTTTTCTCTCCCCTCCCGATGGATGCACACACGCCGTGAAGCGCGCCGAGGAGCGCTCCGAGAGAGCGCGTCGGGAAGAGCTCTGGAACGATCCGCCTCTGATGGGCTTGTTTCCCACCGCCACCACCATCTGTTGGAGGGGGGGTCCTCCTCCTCCTCCTCCTCCTCCTCCTCCTCTTCCTCCTCCTCCTCCTCTTCGTCCTCCTCCTCCTCCTCCTCCTCCTCCTCCTCCCCCTCCTCCTCTACGTCCTCCTTTTTTGGACTTGGAGTCAGGATGAGGTGCACGAAGCGACACCCGCCAGGAAGAGGGAACACGAGACAGGACACAGGCAAAGCGAAAGCGAAAGAGAGCACGCGAAGCATGCGATGAACCCGGGAGCCTGCCAGGGCAGGAACGGGGTCCCGACACCCAAAAGGGGCAGGGCGGGCCGAGGCCTCGCACCGTGTTGCCTCGGGCCCGCTAGGGCTCTGGGCGAGAGAGTTCACTAGCAAAGTCGTTGCCCATGACTCGGGTGACGTGAGGATCCAGGGGCTCCCAGAAGGCCATGAAGTCCGGCTCGACCTCCTCCGAAGAGGCTCCCCAGACATGCGGCCATCTCCCCTGGAAGACCTGAAGGAAAGCAGAAGCAGCAAGACGGCACATGCCCTGGGGGTACGCCTCAGCCCGACAGAAGCGCCACTGCCAATTGCCCTCCATGCCCGCAAGGGTCTCGTGGCCTCGAGGGCCATGGAAGCACCTCCCGCCCCCCCGAGCAGCCCGTGCCCCCAGGCCAAGAGAAGGAAGGTGAACCGAGAGGAGGAGAGTAGGCTTCATCGACGGCGCCCCGAAAACGCACTGGTCGATGAGGACCCCCTCAACCTCGGGCCGCCCGAAGAGGAAGTCCAGCTCGTCGAGCTTCCACGCCGAAAGGGGCCCCCAGGCGGAAGGGAGGAGCAGGGTGCTCCATCACCGCCGGGATTTCGAGGCGGAGGGCAACGAAGAGGAAGTAAATCGTCGTGCGGAGCAGCAGGTTCCCCGCCTCAACCTGCCTGGCTTTCTTGGGGGTAAGGTCGCCAAGGCCCGAAGGCTTGCCATGGGTGCGGAGAAGCCTTGGCGGGGGACCCCTACACTCGGTGGTGTCACGGAGGCGGGCCTGCGACCAAGTCTCGCACGGAGGGCCAGCCCAGAATCCGGCGACCTTGCCGCCAGCCATGGCGCGATGCCAAAAACGGATCGTCTCTGGCCTCGAAACATCACCGCGGATGGGGTCGTTAGCCACGTCAAGGCTGATCACCCAGACAGAGACAGGAAAGGACTCGGCTGCCCTCTCAAACTCATGCTGGATGTCAAACTCGCGTCGGGCCCCAGCGACAAAATGCAAGAGATACATGGTAGGCTGGCCGGGTGGCCTGGGAACCTGGCCCGCAAGGGCTCTATCCCCAGAATCAGCTCGAGCCATGGGCAAGGGTTTCCAAGCACGTTTTTCCCTCGGGACCTGGGCAGGGGGGCAAATCGAAATCCCAGGGACCCGAAAAGCCGGTTTCTCAGCAAAGTGTTCAGGTCTCCCCGCTTTACGGTTAGCTTTCCTGGCAGCGATGATGGCTTCCCTGTCCTCAGCAATCTGCTCGGGGGTCTTGGGGGGCATCATGGGCCGCCAGGCCTCTCTGCACCTTGGACTTCGAACTAAGTGTTTATGAAGCCTAGCCATGGTATGATGCTGCATACGGCAGCTCTCGCAGCAGAAAGTGCCATTCATCCAAAGTATGGGGTCGTCCACCTTAGTGTGCTTTGTGCTAACATGGATCTTGAGGGCGCTAGGGGCCGAGGCCTGAAATCCACAATCATAGCACATGTAGATAAGGTCAGTTTTTTGTTTCTCCCAAGAACGGGGCGACGAATCCGCTATTATGGCAGAGGTCCTGTAAAGCGGTGTGCAACTCCCGAAGCCTCGCCGCGTCTCTGTTTAGGAAAAGTTGGCTTTGTTTGGCTTTGTCGAGTCGGCTCTTGAAATATCCAGGGCTCGTACGGGCGCGCTCGATCCATTCTTCGAAGCTTTGTCTCACATGCCCGTCCTGTCCCCGGCCATCGTTGAGTCTGTCATTAAGCCAAGCAAGATCCGCCCCCAGAAGCGCTACCCAACCAGAATGAGAATGATACAAAACATCGAGTGCCGCTAAGAGCGATTGAGAAGCGTGTCTCAGAAGCCGGGGGAGGTACCGCAACCGTGCCAGCGCAAGATACTGGTCTGGGTGGGGCCTCTAACCAAGACGGCCCCAAATTCGAGACCACTACGTTCTCCTCCTTGCCCTCCTCCTTCTCCTCCTCCTTCTCCTCCTTCTCCTCCTCCTCTTCCCCCTCCAACTTATGGTGGTGGTGGAAAAGAACAAGCCCATCAGCCTCTCTCCCTCCCGCCCCTGGTCGGCGCGCAGCAAGAGGGCAGGGGGACGGGGGCAGGGCACGAGAAGAAGCGACCGAAAGGACGTAGAGGAGGGATAGGGGGGCTGAGAACGAGCAGACCAGGAGAGGGGAGCAGAAGTGCAGGAATGGGAAGATCACTGATCGTGCGAGCCTTCCGCAAGCTCGCCGCCGTCTCCGACGGCGCACTGGACGTCTTCCGGTGAACATGTGCTCACACACGTAGGGGGAGGGGGGAAAAGGCTGCTTGGAAGGCGGCTTCCTCCCAAGGCGCCGGCCGCCCTTCCAACAAGCCAGGGGCACGCCGCTCCTCACAGGGCGACTCTTAGAACCGCGGAACTGCTGCTTAGAAGCAGAGACAGCCCGTTAGAATCAAGCCGCCTGCTTCGTAGAACCACGCCGGGACCAGCTTTCTAAGAAGCAGCCGCCAGCTTCTGAGGAATGGCGCCCGCGCCTTCTAAGAAGGGGGGTGCGTCTGAGAAGCCTTCCCCCTTCCCCCTTCCCCCACTCTGCGCGAGGGCGGATCCCCGCTGCGAGGGGGCGCTCGGCTCTTGGTCCTCGTGGTTCCCGCGGTTCAGGTGCACGGCGCTCGGGAACCGCAGCTTCAGGCAGTACAGGCAGAGCAGCACCTCCGGGCCCCAGATGCCCCTGTCGACGAAATCGCCGTTGAAGATGTACGCGGTGCCTGGGGGGGGAGCGCCTCGTAGCGTCGGGCACAGAGGCAGCGTGAAGGAAGTGTGTGTGCTGCATCTTCGGGGGGCCCTGCTTGGCTGTCCGTGTCGCATCCGCGCCAGATCTGCGTCGAATCCGCGTCGGAGCCGCGTCTGATCTCTGAGAAGACCGCAGCTTCAAGGACAGGCGAGGCCCCCCGACGATGCAACGTAAAGATGTGTCCTTGGAAGAAGACGGCTTGTGGTAAACCAGCGGAGACTCCACTTCTTGGCACGCTGAAGACAGATAGAGTACTGGCGCCGAGGCAGATTGCGGACTGGCGGAAATGATACTCGGGAGATTCCAGCTTAGATCACCTGTAAGGGTGCCAATGGGATAGGGGCCCTAAGTTGATGCCAAGGAAAATCATATCTGGACTTACCTAGCTATCTATGGGTTACGACTGCCCTGAATGGCCTTAGGGTCCGGTAACTCTGCTAAACGGGCTCCGCCCACGTAGCTCAAATATGTTCCCCCGTGAGCCGCTTGGGGCGAAGGCCATCCACATCTATACTGGGTTTGGCAAGATCATCGCCACCCTGGCAGCCACCGAGAACCCGCACTGTCCCCTTCGAAAACACACAAGAGCAGCCGGCGAGGCTAGTGCAGGATGACGCTCAAGATGAACACGCGCACGGGGGAGCGATGATCAACAACCAATCGCTGCCGCTGGGGACGATTTTGAAGACGACTCCCAAACCATCTCGATGACGACGACGCTGCCCACGAGCCGGCCTGCTCGACTGGCCTCCCCAGGACAATTCCCAATCGTCGTCCCACATCGAGCGGGGCCAGTGACGAACCGGCGGGCATCCTTGGTTCGGACTGAGCCTCGCCACGCTCGAAGACGGTGCACGTTTGCGGCCCCCCGGGATGCCGCCGGCGCCCTCCTTCGGCTCCCCGTGCTCGTCTAGGATGTGCATGAGGTCGCCCAGGTGGCCGTGCAGGTCCCCGACCTGGGGGAAGCAGAAGATGCCGGCACCGCCACTCCCCGGACCTCTCCTTGGGTGCGTCCTGGCAAGGATCTCGAGGCGCAGCTGGTCGTGGAGGCGAGGGCCTCCGAGGAGGCCCAAAAAGGCCACACGAGAGAATGGTAATCAGCGGCATCGATGCCGATGACCTCTGGACGCCGCAAATGGGTGAGGACAACAATGGGTACGATGCCCAGCATGAATGGGTGGCCTGAGTGGAGCCCCAAACTGAGTTACTGCACTTTCGAGGTGGCAGGTAAGCGATCTGGTGTAGGCGATGCCGTGTGAGCTATGCGCTGTGAATTTTAGATCTTAAACCTATGGTGTGTAAGTTATGCGAGGCCATATATATATATATATATATATATATATGCTGTGTAAGCGATGTGGTGTGAGCTCGAGCTGAACGCTATGCGGTCTGAGCTACTGCGTAGGCTAATCGATGTAAGCTATGCTGCGATAGCTAGGTATCGTGAAATAGGTCGAGTACTAGGTCGAGCATGTCCTCCCACAGGCGCATGTTGGACGAACGTAGAATGACACAATCTTCAAACATAGTCAAAAAATGCCAGAACAACATGTTCCCAGACTACTTATTGACTATACTTGAAGATTCCTCCTGTAGAAGGACACGCCCGACTTAACACTATGTGTTATGAGACAAGAGACCTTTTTCTTAATCGGCGATGCCCCGGGTTATCCCGGGGGGGGGAGGAGGGGGCCAGCCGATAACCTAACCCTCGCCCCTCCCGCGGACCTGCACAACCGGCAAAGTTAGGTTATCCTGAGGGGGGGGGGGGGGGTGGGGCAAGCCCGATAGCCCGGATTCTCGCCGGACCCCAAAAAAATCAAGTAATCTTGGCTGCTCATTCTGGGGACCTTCCTGGAGCCACTCGCTCCACTCGTGTGTCGACGCTGCGTCGAACGTCCGTCGATTCGAGCCGACCTGGAGCCGACCCTGAGTCGAGCCTGAGTCGAACTTGGGTCGACCCGGAGTCGAACTTGAATCGAACTGGTGTCGAACGGATTCGTTAGCTCGCCATCGCTCGGACGTCCATTCCCTGTGCTTTTTTCGGTTTCGTGCGTGGCTTTTTCGCCAAATGATCAAGGATGCTCCTCGATGGTCCTCGCCGAAGGAAAAACGCATACGTCCGACCGATGCCAAGTTAGGTGGGCATCTAAGAGATCTGTGTCATGCGCGAGCGCCCGAGTCGGGCCTGAGCCGACCTTCAGCCGAACCTGAGTCGGACCAGGAGTCGACCGGGAGTCGACCTGGAGTCGAACTGGCGTCGAAGGGATTCGCGAGGTGGGCTCCAGGAAGGCCCCCCGAAACGAGCATCTGAGAAAACCGTGTCGTGCGCAGAGCGGCCCACGAGCAGCCCACGGAGCAACCCGCGGGGCGCCAGAGCGGGGCGCCGCCGCGGCGCGGCCCGCCCCCGGAGAGCACGGGCCGCCCGACACGGCGCGCCCGCGAGAGGCGCCCGCGAGAGGCGGCAACGCGCCGCAGACTCGGCCGGAGGGCCACGTGCGAGCCCTACCATTTCACCAGCCTCGAACTTATCCCTATCCCTAAGATCGACACGCCAAAAGGCGATGACAATCTTAGGGATTCGCCCTATAAAAAAGGGAGTCCCTAAGATTGGCATCGTGATGGGGAGAGGCCCAGCATAGGGATAGGGATAGGTTCCAGGCTGGTAACCATGATCGGGCCGGGCGAAAGGGGGGGATAGCAAAGGGGGGGGGTGAGAACCAGCTCACGCAGCTGCTTTTCCCAGCGCCGCCCGGCGCCGCAGGCGGCCATGTGTCGAGGAAGGGGCCCCTCGGTGAAGCCGGAACCAGCTGCATGCAGCAGACTTCGTAACCTCCCCCTTCCCAATCCCCCCCTGTCGTCCGGCCGAGCCACGTGCGAACCCTGCCACTAGGTCGGGCGCGTTCGCCCTGCAGGAGGAATATTCAAAAATGGTCCGACCATAATCCGGGGGCTATGTTTTGAGTAGTTTTGCATAATTTTTGGGCATGTCCTGAATATGTGTTTTATGTTCCGTCCCAAATCGGCATTTCGGGGGACAGGCCCGGCTTAACCCTACCGATAGGTCGGGCGGGTTCCCCCTACATGGGGATCTTGGGCGAACAATAAAACATACCCCCCCCAAAAAAAGAACCCAAGTGGGCACACATAGTCGAAACATCGTCCCCAAAAACCATTGTCTGACTATTCTTGACTATCTCTCCTGTGCAGGGACAGGCCCGGCTTACACGTGGTGCAGCCTCAGCGCCTCCCCCTCCCTGCGCAGGATGCGCACCATGAGCGCCCACGAGGCGGCACGGGCGGCAGCGTGGCGCAAACCCGCTCAGTTACTCTCAACAACCAGTCTTCGAGCCAAGCAAGAAAAAGAAAAGACCCCTCAGTGCAAGCACTGGCTGGGAGATGGTGCTCGGAAAAAAAAGCGACCGCTTTAGGCGTCAATGTCGTCTTTCCGTCTTCCATGGACAACGTCAACGGCGACACCGGCATCGAACCCCCTTCAGAACAAAAACTGCATTCGGTTTTGTACCCGTTCTTTCCGTCTGCATTTCTCTCGCGACGACTTCCTCCCCTGGCGACCACTATTAAATTCTGGCCGGGGCCCGGCCGATCAACCTTGATGACGTTGGGCAGCGCTGCGTGCAGCCTCGTCACCCTCTTCAGGATACGCTCGGCCACGGGTCGATCGGGCAGCTGGTGGTGCCGCAGCCGGTGCCACGCGTTCACCAGCTCCCAGTCCTCTATCCTCCTCCTCCTCCTCCTCCTCCTCCTCCTTCTGCTCCTGCTGCTGTTCCAGCCGAGGAGGAGGAGGAGGAGGAGGAGAAAGGCCGGAGGCGGCGAGTGGCAGTTCGAGAAGTGGGGGCCCGCATATCCAACAGAAGAGGTCCTTTCAAGACGGGGTCGCTGGAAGCCCAAGGGCCTTTTCCCAGGGTCAGCTATTCATCCCGAGCCGTTTTCTTTTTGGACCGTGCCTCGGGACAGCGAGTCAATCCTGGAGAGGGGGTCGGGGTATCCTAGGACCTCGGATTGGAGGATCGCGACATCGAGTGTCTGGGTCAGATTTCCGCTGCCTTGGAGCCCAGACGACCTCCGACACTGCGACTGCCTGTCTGCGGCGCGGGCCACAGATCTACCGACTCCACCACCACCCGCCCTCGTTCTCCTCCCCCTCCTCATCAGCCTCCTGCTCCGCCCTTACCCGCCTTCCTCATCCTCTTCCGCCTGCGCCCTGCTCAACCTTCCTCCTGCTCCGCCCCTTCTTCCTCCTCCTCCTCCTCCTCCTCCTCCTCGTCCTCGTCCTCCTCCTCCTCCTCCTCCTCCTCCCCTCCTCCTCCCCCTCCCCCTCCCCCTCCCCCTCCTCCTCCTCCTGCTCCTCCTCTGCCCTCCTCCTCAGCCCCTCTCCTCTCCCGCCTCCCGCCTCCGCCTCCTCCTCCCCCCCCCTCCTCCTCCTCCCCCCTCCCCCCCATACTTCTCCTCCTCTTTTGCCTTCCTCCTCCTCCCCGTCCCTCTTCCCCCCTCCTCCTCCTCCTCCTCCTCCTCCTCCTCGTCCTCGTCCTCCATGCCCACCGCCCTCCGCCACCGCCTCATCCCCCACCACCCGCCGTCCCCCCCTCCCGCCCGCCCGCCCCGCAGCCCGCCGCTGGCTGCCTCCTCTCGAGGTCCCCGGGGGCCCGAGAAACATGGGCTCTCCAGAGCGCAGCCGGCCCCGGCCGGTGGTGAGCTCTTCGCGGCTCTGGGAGGCCCGCCGGGAGTCAGCAGACCCCCTCGCGCCGCGAATAAATATAGCGACTGCGTGCAGGAGTGGTCCCAGGCAAGAGCACGCACCCCCCTCCCACGGGAGTCAGCAGACCCCCATCGCGCTGCGAAGAAGCACATAGAACGACTGCACGCAGGACTGACCCCAGGCAAGAGAGCACGCCCCCCCCCCCCTGGAAGAAAGCAGACCCCCATCGCGCTGCGAAGAAAACGGATCGATTGCGTGCAAGAGTGCACCCGGGCAAGAGTCACCCTGGGCGCCGGGAGTCCCGCCCCCCCCCCCCATCCCCGCCCTGGGCGTGAACAGACACCCTCGCGCTGCGAGAGAAAAAGTTACAGATCGACCACATGCAGGCGTGACCCTGGGCAGACATGCGGGCGTTACCCTAGGCAGGGTGACCTGATAGGCCTGCTTTCCACGACCGCTTTTCTGGCGCATTGACAAGTACGGTCATTTAGCACGCAATTAAACATTAAGAGCTGACATTAAAGTGTACCATAATACAAACGGATATAGGCATGTTGGAAAACACCACCACCATAAGTTGGAGGGGGGAAGGAGGTGGAGGGTGAGGGGGAGGAAGAAGAGGGGGAAGGGGACCCCCTCCCACCTGAAACCTTATGGTGGTGGTGGTGGTGGAGGACAGGCCCAGGGCTGCCCTGTCCTGCGCGGCGACGTGGGGGCCGCGGGCAGGCCCGCGCGGGCCGGGCGCTGCTGGGGGGACCCTCGCCAAACCCCGCATCAAAAAGCTGCAGGAGGAGGAGGAGGAGGAGGAGGAGGAGGACGAGGAGGAGGAGGAGGAGGAGGAGGAGGAGGAGGAAAGGTGAGAGAGGGGACGCAGAGGCCGGCCCCAACGGAAAGTCATCCGTACGGGTAGCCGATCAACCTCAGTAAGCAACAAAGAAAACCCCTCTTGGGTTGTCGTTAGCACCGCACCGTAATTGCATAATGCAGAGCAGTTTCTGAGGATGTCTCAGGCGAGGCGCTTGTTTCAGAACCACACGGAGGCCAGGTTGCGAGGTGCCAAGGTGACGCTTATATACTTTCGCCAGAGGGGGGGGGCTCTTAATTGCATCTCAGGGTTATAGAAACGGGGAAATTGAGCAATGCTGGTCAATGGGGCACTTACCGACCATCTTCTGGTTCCGGTGTTTCCCGCCCAAGGACGAC